CTTTGGTCAAGCTCACAGTTAAAATGAAAATTAAATTAAAGAGTAGTGTTTTTTTGTGAAAAATCAAATAATTGTCAACAAAAATAAAGAAGTATTACATTATTTTTTTATCTTATATATAGAAATGAATTGCTGCTCGTTAGTCTCGCTAAAACACGGCTGGACCGATTTGACTAATTTTGGTTTCAAAACCAAAATTAGCCAAGTCGGTCAGTATTTGTAGCAGTCCAGGGAAGCTTAAAACGATGAGAAATTATGGAAAAATTGCATGGAAATAGAAATAGCAACAATTTTATTTTCCCGTACAAACTGTTCCTACCCGTCAAACATTTTATGGGTGCGTTCCGAATTCTTTTTCTATGTGTTCAAATTCACAAATTCCCTAGAAATAATTTATATGGCAAAACAACGTTTGCCGGTTCAGCTAGTTTACTAATATAATGGTAATAACACATTTGGATGTTCGACAGCAGCAACAGTTACTTATGTTGGACTTAAAATATAAGATTGTCGGTTAAACTTCCGTGTTTTTGGATTTATTAAATGCAAAAAAATAAACTGAATATGTGAATGGCAACAGGGCGCTGTCGAAAATTTAGGATATCTTTAACTTTTGAAAAATCTAGATGAAAGGTTGATGGCCTTGAATTTAAAAATAAAAAAAATATACAAACTGTTACCTATTTTAAAATTATTAATACTGATTATCGTGATATGCGAAGTAGTTAATTACAATAAGAAAATCTCTCATTTTGTATTACGCTTTAATATGGTTAGCACCGTAACAGAATATTTGTCATTACGTAGCGAAATCCTATTCCCTTGTTACCTTTTGCAAGCAAAATAAATGAAACGTGCCTCTATCATTAGGTATATCTCTACGACGCCGTGATAGCTCATTGCCCGTGCTTTCGTTTTTAATTCGCTATACACGTACTCGAGACGCCGAGTTCGATCCCCGGTGCTGGCACTAAAGAATTTTTTAACTTTAAGTGCTGACTTATCCCGTGCTCAGTGGTGAAAGAAATCATCGTGAACAAACCTGCATATTTTCGAAATAATAACAAAAGTAAATATTTCGAAGAAGAAATCCGTCAGGTTGCGTGGCGTAATTATACTCTAGTACCACGTGTAAGTGAGTAAACGCGTCTGCGGCTCCTCAGGTGTTGGGGATATCCATGGGTGGTAATCACTAAAGATAAAGAGTACCACCTGTTCGTTTGCAATCTTTTCATACCATTTTCCCACCCCAATAACCTTCATACAGCACTCTCTCGACTTTGCCTAGCTCCTTATCTTAAATGTTATTTTCCTTAAAAAAGCTTAAAACTTCATTCGTTTTAACGATGTCAATTTCAGAGGCGACTAGGCAACGATGTAATCAAACTTTCCCGAATGGACTTTCTTGGGTGTTTCGTTTATTCAAATTTTAAACGAACTCTCGTTACAAAAGTGCTTCGAAGACAACATGAAACGAAAATCTGACAATCGAAAAGAATGACACAGAACCACGAATGGGCAGGTCCGTCCGGGTAAGTACCACGACCTCACAGAAGACCGGCGTCAATTGGAATCGTTATACTTCTATGTTTCGTCTGTTGAGTTAGGTATCCGGGGCACTTTATTAAAAGGTGCCAACGCATCTGCAACCCTACGGGTGTTGCTCAACGGGCGGCGGCTATCACTAAACATCAGGTGAACTGCCGGCTCGTTTGCCACTATCTCACATAAAAAAAATAAAGTTTCACTTCACGGGTAATACGACGCAAAACTGAAAAAGTAAAATTATAACTGGAGTGTTGACGTAAATAAAGTTCTGTATAAAATTTATATAAAACAATTTTTAAAGAAAGCGTCAAACTTCCCCAAACTTTTCAAGGGTTATAAGTGCCTTGGTTATTTATCTTTGCGGCGTTCCAGGCACAGTACATTAAACCTCGTTTACCACGTTATAAAAGTTTCCAATCTCTCTGTCTTTACTTTAACAGTAAATTTACAAACAATTTGTGTTAAAATGTAAACAAAGTTAAAACCATTCAGGGTTTTGTAATTATAAATTAATACAATATTCTCAAAATGTATGTAAATATAAATATAGCCGTGATAGCTCATTATCCGGGCGCTCACTTTTAATTCCATATACTCGAGCAACCTGAATTCGATCCCCGGTGCCGGCACCAATGAATTTGTTAATTTTAACTGCAGAATCATCACGTGCTCAGCGGTGAAGGAAAATATCGTGAGGAAACTTACATATTTTCGAAGTTATAACAAAAAAAATATTTCGAAGATATGTGAAGTCCGCCAATCCACAGTGAGGCCGCGTGGAGGACTATGCCCTGATACCCGCTGTACAGAGAAGGCCTTTGCCCAGCAGTTAAAGTTAAAGTTTATTACTTTTTTTACTTTACGTTTTCTCAAAATGGCAATTCTCATATAATTCAATGAAGTGATCGGGAAGTTTCATTTTTGGCAGGTTTACACAAGAAATGTAGACTTGTCAGATAGGCAATGTTTACTTTGACTTAAATTGTGAGTCTTTAGATTTAAATAGAAAATTAACAAATTTACCCCAGTTTTATTATTGCTATTTCGTTTTTTTTTTTCACATTATAACATCACAAACAAGTTGACCAATCACCTAGCGTTTGGAGTCAAGTCATTTGATTCGTGAGTCACGAATCATTTTTAAATCGTTTTAAATTAATTGAAAAGATGTTTTCACGTTTTTCGCACAAAGTAACAAAATTTTTAAATATTTAATAGAAAGAAAATCGGGTGATTTTGATTAAAATGGTCGTGATGGCGACATTTATAGGTTGCGTTATAAAGAGTAAAAGAATATTAAAAACAATGCCATAACCATATACATGCAATAGCTCGCCATTTTATCAGCGTTATAGAAATAATATATATAGATTTTATTTACTTTAATATATAAAGAAATTGATACTATTTCATTTATTTATCTTATTATTTAATATACTAGATTAGTTATATTGTTTGCTATTAAGTGCCAGTAAGTCGAGGTATGTAACTCAATATTCGAACGCTGTGTTAATTGAAATTTCGAAGTTAATTGAAAATTTAAAGCTAGCGTTATGTTGTGGAGCCAAAGTTATTACATCAGACAAGTGTAACTTGTTTATTCAGCTTCAAATATTGATAACATATTAATAACCCTAATGGCGTAGTAAGCATGTAGATAGTCTGTCTCTTGCGCCAGAGGGTTCGATTACCACAAATGGAAAAATATTTCATTATGAACAATTTTTTTCCAGTTTCTGGGCGTTAATATAATTTTCTCAACTGTTTAGTACAGGAATATTAAGTTTTTAATTGTGTATGGTAGACATATAATATCAACAATGCCAACAACTATGATTTGTTAATAAAACTATGAAATATAGTAGTATATAAATCTTTTTATTAAACTCCTGACGTCTCGAACACTAAGTATCCAGCATTGCAGTCTGTCACGTGTCTGTGGATACTGTAGCTTTTCGATTGGTATAACGGATTACGGTCTCTTCTAGTTAGTAAAAAAAATATTTTTTAATAAGCATACTGTTTTTCTATAGTATCGTTTTTATAATATTTACAACTGTGATCAAAAGAGATGCGTTCATAGATTTATAATTACAAATTATAAGTAACATACATAAAATTGAGTTCACACTGTGTACATTCCATGTTCTCAGTGTTTAGTTTTAGTTAGAGTTATATGTTTAAATGAAATTGTATTTGAATTGCACTATCGCATTAGGTATTGCTTGTAATGATAGTTGTTAGTTCATGTATAAAATAAAATAAATAAGTAAATAAACGTTTATGTTGTCCGACCGATACAGATTATGAATCTTCAGACCCGGTCATATTCTTTTTATGTTAGAAGATGGCAAGCGAGCTGATGGTTGATTTGAGGTAAACGATAACCGCCGCCCATCGACATTTGCTACACCAGTAGGCCTACAGATGCGTTGCCACCTTTTAATAAAGCTCTCCGGCTACCTCACTCACCAGACGAAACGCAGAAGTGTTCCTTCACTTCCACTTCATGCCGGTGTTCTATGAGATCGCGGTAGTTCCCCGGACGGACCTGCCCATTCGTGCAACAGCGAACACTGTTGCGTGGCCCACTGACAGTTAGTTGCTTAGTTTCAGTTGAAACCGTAAACTTAAGTTCAAATATGTATTGCATGCTATCTTACATATACTTAATCTTCACCCATAACCACATTAAGTATAGCTAAATAAAATAAAAGACACGTCTCGGCACACACTGAACCGTTGGAAATTTGCTGTTCCCTCAAAACTCGCTAATTTAATCCGCTCGCACAGCGCAGTTTCATTGGAACCCGAATTATTTCGTACACTCAAGAAATTTCACCTGTGATATATTCATTCATTCTATTTCATTCGTTCTATTTCATTCGCGAACAATGGTCCCATTGTGCCCATTGTGAGTTAGGAAGAACAAAGAGATCTCACGACGATAGCCGAAATTGATTCTTAATCAAATACACTCGAACACGTGGCATTAAATATAATGTACCACGGCCGTGTTGATTTAACAATATCAAAACGACTAGACGGAACAGCCGTTGACTTTGTCAACTCTTCTCCCGCTTTGTAAACGATTTCTTGCTATAATGAAATAATAATTTATCGAAGCATTCACGTTTAAATTCGTTTTTGGACATATTTATTCATGAAATTATTATGACACTCAAAAGACATTTGCGCAACTGTTAATTAAATAAATATATAAATAAATATTTGCGGACACATTTTTACACAACATTCTCTAGTCCAAAACTAAGCAACGCTTGTACTATGGGTACTAGAAAACTGATAAACATACTTAAGCATACTATTCTTTTGTAAATAAATACATATAATCGGAATCTCGGAAACGGCTCCAGCGATTTTCATGACATTTAGTATGTGCGTAGATTCGAGGGCGAAAAATCGATCTATTTTTAGAAAATGTCCTTTTATCCCTGGTTTCAGGGAATGAAAAATATCATTCGAATATG